CCAGTAGCAAGTGAAAAGGTTGACAGTAGCATTCTTCTAAGCATTCTGGTCACACCATTTGCATGCCTTCCCCTAAAGAATCGTGGGAACTTTGCTTTAAGGGTGATGGGAATTATAGCTTTGTGAGGGGGGCTGAACTACAGTTCCCAGGATTCTTGGGGGAAGTTGTGACCGTTAAAATGGAATAAATGTGCTTTAACTGTAGGGTGTGTATGTAATCAACTACTACCTTGCTTCAATGTTTTCTGGTAGCCTTTAGCCACCTTCATGTTTCACAAAATTATTTTGAATTGCACGTAGTGAAAAAAGCCTGGTGTGTATGTGCAACAGAATGAGGTGGTAGAATGGACTCTTTTTTTAGGCTGAAGGTGGGGTGGGATTTTGGAATATTCCCCCATGGATAAAAATCACATGGTGAACTAAAAAGTAACTCATTGCGGGGAAAAGGTTACAATTCAGACTGCTCCCTGCTGTGCTCATTTTCTGCAGAGAAGGGCTGTAGCAGAATGCCTCAGATCCCATCTCTGGCATCTCCAGGAAGGGATGGAGAAATAGAGCTGAGTGTCATCAGCATACTGCTGACAACAGACTCCGAACCTCCGGATAACCCAAGCCAGTGGTTTCATGCAGATGTTAAGAGATAGGATTGAGCCCTGTAGAACCCCACAATGAAGATTCCACGGGGCTGAAAAGCATTCCCCAAGCAACAAACTCTGGGGATGACCATCTAAGTAGGACTGGAACTACTGAAAAGTGGTGCCACCCACCCACCCCTAGTTCAAACAGTCACTCCAGAAGGATGCCATGGTCAATGGTATTGAAAGCCTCTGAGAGGTCGAGAAGAATTAACATGGACATGTTTTCCTTGTCTCTCTCTTGACAGATGTCATCATACAGGACAACCAAAGCAGTTTCTGTGCCAAAACCGGGCCTAAAACCTGATTGAAATGAATCCAGAAAATCAGTTTCTTCCAAAAGCGTCTGGATCTAGTCTGCAACCACTCACTCCAGAACCTTGCTCAGAAAAGGGAGATTAGCAACTGGCTGGTAGTTAGGTTTTCTGAATCCAGGGACAGTTTCTTAAGGAGCGGCTTTACCACTGTTTCCTTCAAACAGGTAAGGACCATCCCTTCTCATAAAGAGGCATTGATCTCCACCCTGGCCCAGCCAGCTGTTCCCTCCCTGCTGGTTTTTATCAGCCAAGAGGGGCAAGGGTCTAGAGTACAAGTGGTCGCCCTGACTGATCCGAGCACCTTGTCCACATCATCAGGCCTCACCAACTGAAACTCATTCAACACAACAGGACTAGACTGTGATCTGCACACCCCATGAGATTCATCTGCTATAACAGCAAAGTCTTGGTGAATGCAAGCAATCTTATCCTCAAAATGCTTTGCAAACAAGTCACAGCGAGCTACTGTTGGTTCTATCACCTCCTTTGGGCCAGCCTGTAAAAGGCTCCGTACAACCCAGAAAAGCTCTACTAGATGACGTAAATGAGGCTGCAATGGAGGCAGCAAAGTATGCCTTCTTTGCTGCCTTCACTGCCACTAGGTAGGCTCGATAATGAGCCCTTACCACTGTTCAGTTGCATTCATTTGGATCTTTCCTCCACTTGCGTTCAAGTAGTCTCCCAGCTTCTTTCCTTGCCCTAACCTCTGGAGTATGCCAGGGGGACAAACGGGCATCACAAAATGGGAGAGGGCACTCAGGGGCGATTATGTCAATAGCCCAAGCCATTTGGGTGTTCCAGGGGTTGGCCAGGGCTTCGACAGGGGTGCCAGTCATATCAGCCGGAAAACCTCCCAGAGCTGTTTGGAATCCCACTGGATCCATCAGCCTCCGAGGGCAGACCTTCTTAATAGGTCCCCCACCTCTGCAAAGGGGAAAAGTTGCTGACAGTTTAAATCTCAACAGGAAGTGATCTGACAATGACAAAGGACTGATATCAATGCCCCCCACCTTCAAATCACTCTCTTCCTGCCCAGTCAAGAAAACAAGGTCCAGAGTTTTGCCTGCCATGTGCTTTGAGCCGGTGACATGTTGCGACAGCCCCATGGTTGTCTATTCAACCATGAAGTCCTGAGCCACCCCAGAGCCAGCTGCCTTGGCATGGATGTTGAAGTCTCCCAGAACCAGCAGTCTGGGAGTCCTCAACACTGTCTCTGAGACCAGCTCTGTCAGCTCAGGCAGGGAGACTGCTGGGCAGTGAGGCGGGCGGTAAAGTAGCAGAATCCCTAATCTGTCCTGATTGCCCAATGCCAGGAACACAGTATTATTCCCTCCCCAAACCTCTCCTCCTTACCGTTGAATATTCTCCTTTACCACCTCATACTGGCCAATTGAGGCTGCTGTGTGAAGGTCCAGTGGAACATCTAACTCTTGGCGACAGACCATCTGACCTGCACCATGCCACATGGATAGGCTGAGATTCAGCAGATCCGACTCGCTGGCTTCATCACTCAGCTCTGACATTGTGTCTTGGTGGGCTGAAAGACAAGCACCATCAGTTCTTCACTTTCACTACCTTGCTAAAAGGATTTCCAATCATCTTGGGGTATGATCTGAAAGCTCCTGAAGTTGGGACCCTGGTATACCTTACCTTAAGTTCAATGGGTGAAAAGGCAGTATACAAATAAACAAAATAAGAAAATCTCCTGTCTTTGTGCATTCTTCACAGGATTAGAGAACTATCTTCACTTAAAAAGGTACCCCTGCCCGTACGGGCCAGTCTTGACAGACTCTGGGGTTGTGCGCCCATCTCACTCAAGAGGCCCGGGGCCAGCGCTGTCCGCAGACACTTCCGGGTCACGTGGCCAGCGTGACATTGCTGCTCTGGCGAGCCAGAGCCGCACACGGAAACGCCGTTTACCTTCCCGCCAGTAAGCGGTCCCTATTTATCTACTTGCACCCGGGGGTGCTTTCGAACTGCTAGGTTGGCAGGCGCTGGGACCGAACGACGGGAGCGCACCCCGCCGCGGGGATTCGAACCGCCGACCTTTCGATCGGCAAGTCCTAGGCGCTGAGGCTTTTACCCACAGCGCCACCCGCGTTCCTTCACTTACGTTTCTTCACTTACTAATGTCTAAATACCAATGTGCTGTTAAAGGCACAAAAGCAGAACGGATTCAATCACAAGACTCAAGGAAAACATACAACCATGCATTGCAAATACTGGGAAACCTAGTCTTTTTGAAATGTCCATGATAGGTTGACTGTTTTGCAGGTGAGACCTATTCACAGTGAAGGGAACCTAGAAGGTGACAAATGACCGCTCTGATACTTGGTTCAATTTGCTTTTTTGTTCTTGAATGACAAAGAACTATACAGGCCATGAAACCTCATGCCTTAAACACTGGAAATCCCACACAGGTACACGAAAGGGTCCTTGATAACATACCAGCTATCACCCCACACTTTCAATTTTATCCTCAAATCTGTAAGATTCTCATTTTAATTTAACAGTTTTCACAAACACATCAATTTTATACCCATTATGTGGTACATTTTATGTTATTAAAACAGTAAAATAAGTTGCCTTGATGTGGCTTAGTTGTTGTATTAAGCACTTCGTAATCCACTCCAGGGACAACACATAGTAAAGAACTGTAAATGCATATAAATAAATATTTCAGTCCCCCACCCCTCAGAGAGCTCTATTTTATTTTTTGGGGAAATGTTACATCTCTGAGCTGGAAACCCTCTAACAAGCTGGTTTTCCATTTGCAAGGAGTTCTTGTGTACAGAGCAGAATACAGCAAGAACGAGAGGAGTGTCAGGAACAAAACAATTCCCTGCACCCAAAAGATGAGCAAGACGACCAGACTGTAACTGTTCTCTCTAGCAGAGCAATTCCTATGAGCCAGAATTGCTATGGCCATTGTTCTTTACAGAGGGCCAAACAGTGAAAACTACAGCCAAAACCTACCTAACTCCCTGCAAGCGGAAAGCAAACATGTGAGTGCAAGACAGATAGGGTCCAAACCTCCCTCCCGGGACACTAGCTCTACAGTGGTACCTCAGGTTAAGTACTTAATTCGTTCCAGAAGTCCGTACATAACCTGAAACTGTTCTTAACCTGAAGCACTTTAGCTAACGGGGCCTCCCGCTGCCGCCGTGCTGCTGGAGCACGATTTCTGTTCTCATCCTGAAGCAAAGTTCTTAACCTGAAGCACTATTTCTGGGTTAGCGGAGTCTGTAACTTGAAGCGTATGTAGCCTGAAGCGTATGTAACCCGAGGTACCACTGTATTTGTGCAGTAATCTTTGCTTTGCTCTGGTTGCTGTTCGTTTGTGTGGAGGAGCCCTCAGCCACGAGGCACCTCTGCCCTTGCAGTCTGAAGTGACGCAGCCCAGGCATAAGGCGCGAAGGGCATTTTGCGCTGAGGGTGATGCTTCCAGGGCACAGCTGGGGGACTCTGTGTGCCCCCCCCAACTGCTGGACTCCAACTCCCATCAGCCCCAGCCAGCAGCGCCAAAGGCCAAGGTTGATGGGAGTTGGAGTCCTGAAGTACCTGGGACGCTCACAGGGTCCCCCTTCCAGCCCTACGCAGGAGGCAACAGCCCGCAGCTCAGAGGCGCCCCTCACGCCTATGCCTCCAGGCTGCCCAGAGAACCAAGGCCCGGCCAGTATACTGGGCTCCACCTAGTGAGGCAACAGCACGCCAAAGACCTCCTGCGCCCACAACCTCCTACGAGGCTCCGCTTCCAGCCCGCCTAACACAACTTCCGCCTCCTCTGCTGCCGTACAAGCCTCACCTGCTTCACCTCAGGTCGCCTCAGCCGCTCTCCCGGAAATGCCCGACAATGACGTCGCGGGCAGAGCGTCAGGACTGCCGGAAGGCCCCGCTCTCGCTCTCTGCACCACGTGATCATCACCCGCCTCCTGCTGGAAGCGGCGAGATTGCTCAGCCAGCCAATGAAAAGCTAAGACTGTCGCGCTCCCCACCCGCAATACTCCTTAGCCGCGCCTTCCGAGCGGATCAACCAATACAGGGATAGGTCCTGGCAGGGCAAAGAAAACGGAAAAAGCAGCGAGCGGAACGGAAAGGAATGATAGGAATGAGCTGGACACCGCTGTTTGTGGTTTCTTTATATTCTTATTGCATATTTTTGTTGCGATAAGTTTCAAAGAGTGGCAGTATTGGCTAAGCCCCAAAAATGTTAGTTTATATTAGCCTGTCAGGACTCCAAAATGGGCGGGGAATCAGGGGCGGGGCGAACAACCGGGAAGCCCACGCCGTTTGAATAGAGACGTGTGGTGACGGCGGGCAGAAGGGACGTTCATGACAGCTATCGGGTAGGTCGCTTGCGAGGGACTGAGATACAATGAAAGGCGGTGGGGAAATGTCTCGGTGGTTTGTCCGCAACCGGGATGCGGGGCAGGGAAATCGCCCGGTAGCTCGCGAGCGAAGATCGGCGTCCGGTTGCTATGGAAACGGAAAAAGCGGTACCCGCCGCTCTGCGGGGCGTGGCCAGGCGATGCAACGTCGCCATGGTTACCAGTCTCCATCTTGCCTCTCCACCAATCCCATGCATTGTTTTTCTGCTGTCAGTTTCATCGCGCGCTCGTCAAACTTTTCATTTTTAAACTGAAAATATAAAATTATACAAATATTAAGGAAAGAAATCCTCAGTCCTGTTAAGAAGAAATCCTCCTCAATTTCAGTGGGACTAACTCCCAGGTAAGGCTGCAGTCCTAAACCCACTTCCTTGGGAGTAAGCCCCACAGAATTCACCGTGACTTACTTCTGTGTAGACATGGTTAGGACTGCCAATATGCGCAAATATTTTTCAGGAGGCAAAAAGTAGAAAAGGAAAATATATGTTCCTCTGACAGCAGTAACACAAACATTTAAATAAATATTATGTACAGCATCATCCATGCTTACCAAAAATAGATATTCCTGGCCTAAATATTTAGCAATGCTATATGCAAGATTTTCTCCCTCGGCTTAATTCTGTTCTGCAAACATAAAAAAGGCATCAAATGTGCCACAAATGTTTAGTGGGCATTGCTTTTGCCTTCCAATAAATTTCAATTTATAATGTATGTATCTGTTTATTTAATATACATCTTGCCTTGCCTTTTTTCAGGCAACATATCTCCAAGGCAGCTTATGATCATAATAATAAACTATTGTGTGTTTTATTTTAAGTATAAATATATAAGTAGGTGGAGCTGCAACAACTGCTTTTTCAAGGTTCCATAAAGGCCATATAGGGCAGCCATGCTGGCTGATGCGAGTTGTAGTCCAAAACATTTCAAATTCATTACCAGGTCAGTAAAGGTTAACAGAAGGAGATAGCCTTATGATTGCGTCCCTGCGACTGGATCACCTCCTGTTCTGTAATTAATGGCTGTTTAGGTGGTACAGTCCAAACAACAGACTACATCACTATGCTGTGGTGCTAGCCCAGAATACCAGTATTTCATCATTCCTAACAATTGTTCATGCTTGCTGGGGCCAATGGGAGTTGTACTTTAGCAACATCTGGAGGGCCAAAGGTTCCCCACTCCTGTTGTAGACCAAGGTGGCAAACCTCTGGCCCTCTAGATGTTGTCCCCCATCCACTTCAGCTAGTGTGAACGATTGTTGGGGTGATGGAAGTTGTAGTTCAATAACATCTGCAGGGCCACACATTCTCCATCCTCGATGTAGACATTCCTACCCTGTGTTTATTCTACTCTGCTCTTTCTTTAGTACCGGCATCTGAAATTCAGCTGAGTAGGTCACATAGGATCACTTCAAATGGCATCAAAGGATCAAAACAAGGAAAAAGAGGGGGGTCCTAACCTTCCAACAGCTCCTTTCCAATGGGGAGCCTTCCTGTCTGCAGTGAAAGATCAGATTCCTTCAATGGATTCTGACACCTTAGTGGTAAGTGCTATTCTCCATTTTCTGTTCTTTCAATCTCAAACCATCTGTATTAGCCATCCAAAACACAAATACTAGCAAAATTTGCAGGAAGACAGTCTTCAGCTCAAAATGTCTTGCCTACGTAGAGTCAAAATTTAAGGAGTTGATTTTATAAACCCTGAAAAAAAAAGCTTTTTTGCCCATGACATGTTGTGGTAATTTGAATTGTATTTTGATAATTGTGGGGTGTTTTTTTTACATACAAATAATTAATCTCATTGTTAATCCTATGGAGCACACTGCAGTATTTACCATGAACTCTGTTCAGTTCCATTGTATTATTTCATATTTTCAGTCGCATAAAATTTGACATTATTTACTTCCAGGAAAGTGTACTTGAAGTTCACAACTTTATGTAGTGCAGCTAGTGTGAGATGCCCAGCAGTGAGTGTAGTTGAGTATCCACACTTACTTCCTTTCCCAGCTTTTCTGCCTTGGAATGAATGTCACCCAGTTTCTTTTCTCTGTTTGATAGTCTGATTGCGATGAAGATGATGGGGAGCTTTTCATCTTCCAGCGTGATCAATCCGACCTGGTTCCTGACTTCTCGGAGGAACTAGAAGACCTTCCTCCAGAAGAAGCACATTTGCAGGTCATTGGTCCTACCTAACATCACTGGGTTCCAGTAGGGTAATGCCTGTATTAAGACCAACAATATTTATTTGTTTATTTCATTTATGAATTACTCCCCATGAGACATCCTGAAATGATTTACGGTATAGAACATATATAAAACAGTTGCAAGTATAGTTACAAGTATTGCATAAATAAAAACTTTTTTAAAAAAACCAAAATACATATAAATATGAAAACAACAGCAGCACATACATAAAATCAATTCAAATCCAAAAGAGACACCTTCTGGGATAAAGAAGACATAAAGGCACCAGTCACAAAGCTCTTATATAATGACTAGCATGAAAGGAAACTGAGAGGTGGAGCTGGTCTCTCAGCAAAGCTGATGAAGTGGACCCTTCTTCGCATCACTTCCTCTGCTGTAGCCATCTGAAATGGCAGCTAAAAATGACTGTGTGTGTGTGTGTGTGTGTGTACAGGAAGCTGGTCTCTCAGCAGTCCCCACCACAATGACAAACAGGACCATAGAAAGCTACCTTATACAGAGACAGATCATTGGTTTATCTAACTGAGTATTACCAGTAGGGAAGAGTTGCCCAATATTTCTCTCCTAGCCTAACTTGGAGATGCTGGGGATTGAGTCTGGACCTTCTGCATGCAAGGCAGATGCTCTACCACTGAGCTACATTTTTCTGGTTTTTAATGGTTATCATTGGCGGGACCCAACAAGTAATTCTCACAAGCCACCATGTTTGAATTCACAAGTTGCTCATTCGGTCTTTATAATTTTGAATACCTGTTCTTCACATACTTAGTATTGTTTACCAAGATGTAACTGGTATCTTTCTTGCACTTTTAGAAAACATTTGAGTTTATGAGACATCCAAGAGAGACCTGGAATGAAGATGGAGAAGATTCCGCTTTTCAGAAAGACAAGAGTCCTAGGAGACATGTGTTACTAGACAGGGACGGATTTGGTCTTGTGACTGAAGAAAAGTCAAACCAAGAGGCCATTGCTCCTTCAGTGTCCTCTATGAATGAGAATAAACCAGGAGAGGGAATCTCAGGGGTCCCCAGAGACCAAGAACGAGATATCAGGGAAAATAAGGGGAGACTTAGCTCTTCACCTGATACGTTACCATCTGTGGAAGTGTCACCTTTTTTGATGCTAAACACCAGTGAAAAAGAACGGAGGAAACTAATAGAAACTAAAATTCTCTCCAAGGCGACATTGGGACCCCCTTCTGGAGAACTAGGTCATCCCCAACCAAAAAACAATAACAACAATTTAGAAATTGCAGAACAGGAGCCAGGAGCTATTTCAGCTGAACACCCCCGAGAGCTGATGCTGTTTGCCTTCAAGGTACACATAATAATATGGGTCTCTATTCTTCTTCAGAACAGCCTCTCTGTATTCTCTGTTCTTTGTTGTCTGTGGAAGTTGAAGGTCTAAGCATGCAGAATATTATCTGATCTTCTTAGGCTGAATGTTAATTTTACTGGTAGATAAAGGGTAGGAATTTGCATTTGTTTTTAAGAGAGCTCAAGGTGGTACGAGAGACTCATTTTTGTGAGCACACTCATCACATTACTGTTTTTCTATTAAAGGGGTCCTTCAAATCTTTCTAGTGTGTCTATTGGGACATGAAAAAATGCTCAGTACAGGTGACAGTGACTGCCATGTTGGCTGTTTGGCTAAGGATGTCAGAGAATCCCAATAGAACCAGACATGGGAGTGGAAATTGTCACTGTTTGCTTATTTGTCCCATGTACAGAAATCAATATTATCCACTGTTGTTGTTTTCCAGTCTGCAAATGATATTTAATTGATATCTCCCCACAACCATCACCATTTGCATTGTGTCTGCTTTGTATTGAAATGAATGGTGTGGAATAATGTAATTAATTATGTCAAATTGCACTACAATGGAGAGCAAGCCAAACAACATAGTTTTCATTCGAAGCAGAAATGCAGCAGAACGGTAACAGTGTTGCATGTGATGAACACGGGTCAGAATGGAAATCAATGCCTTCTCACAATCCTAGCTGTGGCTTAATCCCTTCCAAAGTCCATCAGCTCTGGCCAACTGACAAGGCCAGTACCAAGAGTAGGGATGCACAGCTCAATCTATTGGTCCATTTCAGATGTGCTCGTTCTTAAATCCATTCCATCCTATTTCTGTATTAATCTGTGATCATTAATTCTTTTATCCACACAGATATTTTTAAATTTAAGTACATATTTCAATACATGATTTACGGCAAAATTGTATTCAAATATGTATTGCATATTATTGTTTGCATTTGTAAATGCATTTTATCCTGAGATGGACATTTAAACATATTTTGGTGGTTCTGAGGAGAGCAAAATCTGGAGATCTGTGAAATCTGAACGGTAATTAGGTTCTGATACGCTCATTACTTTGAGAGTTGCAAGGGAGGTCTGCAAATGGAATTAAATTCCTCAAGCATCCCTAACCAAGAGCAGACACTAAAATAAGGTAGCCTGATTACGATGCTGGTGTTACCCACTTCAAATCTGATGTGACAGTGTCAGAAGGAAACATTGGAGGAGTTAATTTATTTTAGTCCCCTAAAAAGAAAGCAACTAATAAAACCATGTCACAGAGACGATCCCCTAGCCCTGCTATGCGAGTCTGGCAACAAGCTACTTCTCTTGTGTAAAAGGGGTTATTCTTGCAGAGAGTGCAAAGTTAGCCTGCTTCTTGAATCACCTTCAGCTATCTGCAGGGGGGCGGGGAATGTCCTATCCCTGGCCCAAAGGTGCTGTGTTGGCCACTTGTAGGCTACTTACTATGAGGTTTTTGTAGTGTTCTTTTTCTTCTAAAACCCAACCTAGGAAGGTCATAGTTTTGGAACTGCTGCATTATACATGCCTTATGCAGGGGCTCTGTGCTTAATGTTTTTATCACACACCCTACCCCCCAGACAGTCTAATTTCTCTCGTAAGACTTCCTCTTGAGATTTCATACGCTGAAGAAATAAACCTTAAGTAATTTGTTCTGATTTTTTTTAAAAAAAACCATTGTACGTATTTTATGCCGGCCGTGAAAGCGGCAAGATTTCTGCCACCGCTGGAAGTCTGATTTAGCCACCTTCTTGGATTGCTTCATTCATTTCACCAGACAAGGAGTGCCATTATCAAATGCTTCCCTGCCAATAAAACCCCAACCCTGTGCCAGTAAAAGAAAACCCAACCACATTAGGGAGAAAGGATCTAGCCCTACCTGCTCCTTGTTATACTAGTTTTCCAGATAGTGGTGCGTCCATCCTGTTACCTCAGGAGTCCCCCCACTTCGTGCCACTGTATTCGTAGCTATTGCCTTGGAAAGGGGAACCGTTGGCCCTCCAGAAGTTGATGGACTCAGGCACTCATCATTCCCAGCCAGCATAGCCCATGGGAGCTGGAATCCAACAGCATCTGAAAGGCCACTGATGCCCCCATCTACTCTAGCCCTAGCAAATCTATGGCTGAAGTGATATTTGAACTGGGGAGCATCCGTCTCAGAGCTCATAAACTTAGCCACTGTACTTTGTATTTCAGCATTTGACAGTGTTCCCCAACCTAGTTTCCTCCATATGTTTTGGACCACATCTCCCATCATCCCTGCCCATTGGGCCTGCTGTCAGGAGCAGTTGGAAGAACACCAGATTGGGGAAGGCTGCCATATGCAATAACTGTGTAATTGGATTTCACGGTTGGGAAACCTTAGGCCAAGGGGCCAAATGCAGCCCATCAGGCCACACCCCTCTGTAGCCATGCTCCTTACCAATCCTGCTTTAATACTGGGCTTTGATAATGACACTGGCTTGTCTGGATGGAGGATCACGAGGGTTGTGTGACTGTGTTTAGAAACTAGTCTACTGTACAAAGGTAAAGCTTACATCCATTGTTCTCCCCACTTTTGCCTCTGCCCCTTCACCATTGGCATGTGGCCCCTAGATGGTTGCCCAGGAGGGAATGTGGCCCTTGGGCTGAAAAAGTTTTGCCCACTCTTGCTTCTGAGTAAACATACAGGATTGCTCTAGCTGTATTTGTTCATCTCCTCTGACAAAGTTCTGGGATCCAATGCGGTTTCTGTTGTCCTACTTTCTCCATCTCCTACTCTCTCCCAGGAGAGACAACGCTTGTTTCAGCCAGTAAATCTTTCTCGTCTTTGCCAAACCACGGTTAGTTAGCTCCAGTCTTACATTACAAATTAAATCGAAGGATCTGGTGACTGCCAAAAGCAAAATCTGCCCTGTTAGAGAAGCGCTAATCAGAGCTCCTTCACTCCTTTGAGGTTTATCATCCAGGAAACAGTGAAGAGAGCTCTTTTGAGATGGTGTGACAGACAAAGGGGATTATTACAATGGAAACTGCATTAGCTTCCAGCACTGAGACTGTTTGGATCAGAATGAAAGGATTGAATTTACATGTTTGTTGTAACTGTGATGCTAGTGAGTTGTAATTGGCAGTCTTGTGTCGTCTTCAGAATGATATAGCAAATGCTATTATGGTCTGCCCTGAAACTGTCAGATTATAACAGAGATCCACAGCTCTAGTGTGGGGAAAAACAACAGCAAAAACATCACACTCGTAAGAATTCATATTATGAAAAACATGCTGTTCCTATTACCTTTTTCCACATGTGATTTGAGAACAAATATACAGAAACATAGCTGAGCAGCCTGGCAGCCTAGTTCAGATGAATAGGGCTTTATCTTTTCCGCAGGACAATCAGAAAGTGCCTTTTTCTTCTGTTTTAAAAGTTACAATACAAAAATGCAATTGAATCAGCCATAACACTGCTCATTGCTTTAGAGAAGAGCTGAAACCATGTTTAGATTCCGGCTTCAGATTGTCTATTACGAAAGAGCAATGATTAACTCTCAGCTGCCATAAATGGCACTTTCAATTTAACAGTTGTCTGCAGTTAAGCCTGGCAGGGGAATCAGCCAACTAAAGGGAGCAGGTAGGCAGGTTTCAGATCCTGGGTTATCTGGGAACCTGGGTTACTTAGTCCTAAGTACAATTAACACCACCACCAATGTAACAATTAAATGCAGTTGAATCCTCTAGGGACAATTTAGCCTCCAAAGTAGGGGATGGGAGAAAGAGTGTGTAGTCCATCAGTCCATTCCCTCTTTGCTTAACTACGATTCAACAATTGGCAGTGCTGTTGTCGGTAGGGAGAAATTCAGTTTGTGTTCAAAGGTGAACTTGTGAAATTCATGTTGGTTCAAGGAAAAAATTACACATAGAAAGGAGAATTCCTGGATGCCAAGACAGTGGCAGAGCTTCAGGCTCCGGCACCAGGGGTGGAGAGCAGGTGGGGGCGGGGCTGGCAGGCATCCCGGGGGTGTGATACGCTGCCCGCAGGGGCGTGGCATGCGTTCTGGGGGCGTGGTGCACTGCCCGCAGGGGTGTGGTGCGCTGGGGCACCCAGTGCGGGGGGGGGGGACAGCCGCGATGGAACCTCACCGGGATCACGCTGATGGGGGTGGTGCGCTCCCCCTGCCCCCCTCTTCCTCTGCTAGTGTGCCAAGATCCAAGTTTGGGGCCAGTACTCTTTGGTGAAGGAACCCCAGCAGAGATTTTAAACCTGCAACAAATTCAGGCTTGGAAATGTAGGCTATTAGACCTTATAATATGCCCTTCCAAGTGATTTGAAAAATGGTCCCCTCTTCTCCCAGCATAGGGAAAGACCACACCTTTAGTAAGTTAAAAATTATTTATTCAGAAGGAATGCTTTTCCATAGAGCATTCAGAAAAAGTTGTACAGGTGGTAAAACGTAGCTTAGTTATAGAGTGGTGAAAGTTTCTAAATGAGTGGTATAGGAACTCAAGAGTGGTTTGTGAGAGCCATGCAGTCTGAGCTGGAGCAACCTGGAGCATTTATACACCAAGTAGCCTGGGGGAGAACAATAGGTCTGAATACCTAGTTCCTCCCAGAGTGAGGGGAAGTGAACATAGCTAAGCCTGGCAGAACAACATACTCTATGGTTTTAAGCCCTTCATGTGTTAATTAGACCTAATCATGTTAGTTACAGGCGGCTGATTATCTCACAATTCACACCCTCCCAAATAATACACAAATGGAACCACAGCCATCCTTTGAAATAATAACTTTTCCAAATTTTGCAGTGCAATTCTCCAGCCAACCAAAGTGTATAAAAATGAATATACTGGTATAAAGTGTGCATTGAACTGCATCACTGAAAATAACAAAAATGTATTATATTAAGGGAAATTGCTTGCAAAGATGTGTGTATACATGAGAATTGCACTCAAGAATGTATTATTAGAAGAAATTAGGATAAAGCTAACAGCCTTTTAAACTTTAACTTTACAGTGGCCCTATTCAACTGCAAACTGTTCTCCTTTCAGGACATTGAGAAGTGGAATCTAGACAAGGTACTTCAGGACCTGGAGAAGCAAAGTGGCGATAGAAATTGTACAGTGGAAGCTGCTTTTTCTTCAGCGAACCATGGTGAATGTGCATCCATGAGAGCTGAAGTCAGATTGCAAAATTGAGTTCAAAAGTCATGCCAGATTTGAGTCCTATCCTCTCCAGTTTCCTGGCCTGTGGGCCAGATCCTTATTTCTCCACTCTGCCAGACTAAATCTGTAGATGGGCAGTGGGAATGTGCCTTGTTCCAGCAAAGGAACAATCAGGAGGTCACTTTAAGCTCCTGATTGTTCCTTTGAAGCCTTGCCCTTAGCTGACCCACAGTTGGGCATGGTTACCCCCAAGATGGCTTGCTGGGCCAAGTTTGGTCAGCAGGCTAGAGGCTTTTTACCCCGTTGTGCAGGTTTACTCAGAAACAAGTCCCATTGTTTTAATGAAATCACTTCCAGGGAACTATACCAGGGATTGCAGCCTGTCTACAGCAGGGCTAGAGAACCTCTGTTCTGTCCATGGCCACGTTCCCTGGTGGTGTAATTTCCACCAGGGATGGGTAGAGTCACCATTTTGCATGTGCTCTCTCTCTCTCTCTCTGACATGCCCTTTCTTTCCTCCATCTCTTCCTCCTTGTCCAATGGGCTGCTGAGGAAGGGTCAGATTTTGCTAGAGATCTGACTGGATCAATTTTATAGGGCTTTTGAAGCACGACAAATTTCCCTTATTTTGAATGGTTATGCTCTGGGAAGAACTTAATTGGGTACAGCTCATTATTGGAAAGTTGTTCATTGCACCTGCATTTGGGCACCTCTTAAGTTACTATAGTCAAATTTGGCATGGTGATTCCCAAGATCAAGGAGCAGGTTTTTTTTCTCCTATGTTTGGATACAGTTGGAAGCCAATTGGAATCAAGATGGCAGATGGAACCTTTCAAAACCACATTGATGTTTTGGTTTCTTAGAATTCTCCATCAACGCTAGGAAAGTTATGGGAGTCCAAAGGGCAGGAGCAGGGGGACAAAATCCTGAAAGACAGATTGTAGTGAAGTGAGGAGCAGGCAAGGATGCAAAAGAACTGGGTCTGAGGAAGAATAGCCTGACAGAGAGCAGTGGAGTGGTGTTGGCTACCTGACTTGACAGCATCATATTGAAGATTGGGGTTTGACCTGTCTAATAATAATAATAATAATAATAATAATAATAATAATAATTTGTTATTGCTACCCCGCCCATCTGGATGGGTTTCCCCAGCCACTCTGGGTGGCTTCCAACAAAAGATTAAAAATACCTTAAAACATCAGTCATTGAAAACTTCCCTAAACAGGAAGCCTTCAGATGTCTTCTAAATGTCATATAGTTGTTTATTTCTTTGACATCTGATGGGAGGGCGTTCCACAGGGCGGGCACCACCAGCAAGAAGGCCCTTTGCCTGGTTCCCTGTAACTTCATGTCTCGTAGTGATGGAACCCCTAGAAGGCCCTCACCACTGGACCTCAGTGTCCGGGTTGAACGAAGGCGGTGGAGACGCACCTTCAGGTATACTTTTATACCTTCAGGACCTTGTATAGCTCCTAGAAAATCTGGGAAGCAGGCACGTGCCCTAGAGGGCTTGGAGTGCCCTGAAAAACCTCAGAAAAAAGTGGCCCACCAACTGACAAAGGCCTCTGCCTCTGCCTCCAAAATGCCCCAGGCCATAGGAGCTACCATCTGTCAGATTGCAACTTTCCCTTCATCCCCAAAGCCCCTGCAACTTGGGTAATGGATTTATACTGCTTCTGCACACTTGTATCTCCCCATCTACAGCTTGCATTGCTCTTCCCAGCCTTTTGCATTCAGCCAGACTTGAAGTTCTGCCAGAGAACCAACTGATTGCAATAGATTCCAACCTCCCTGTGCATTGCCCCTCGCCCCCCCAGCCAGGCTTTCATGTACACCTCTCTTGGTGGTCTGGCACTTCACTTTTGGGAAGCCTGATTTAATTTCTAGTTTTCTTGAATAACGACATCGCTCACTTTACCATCCCTCCCATTCTTGTCCTTTGGGGAAATCATAACGATGCTAACATTGAAATTCTTTCCGGCAGCTGGACCGAGTGTTTCTCTTCTTTATTTCACCTTCAGAAGCTGTCAGGGCTCAGTCACAAACAAGGCTCATGGGAAAGCTAGAAGAGCTATGCCTCAAGCAGTCAAGGGCATTTTTCTCACACCGCAGGAGGTGCCTTGCCAAGTTTCCCAACTTCAGTGAGTGCCAGGGAGATGGGAGGTAGGTCCTCAAGCCTTTAAGAATTCATTTTTGTACACATGTGGCGTCAATGCTTATGATAAAGACATCCAGCAAAAGAAAGGGTAGTTTCCAGGACTGGGCCAAGGATGTAAGGCTGGTTTAATTGTCATAGCATCTCCTGCCCCCAATAAGATCTCTTAAAATTAAGCATTTTCTTCTTCTTAGCTCTTCAAAGTACTGCAGTTCCTGGCACCCCTTTTGTAGGATCAATGTCAACGAAACCATTTTGAATTTTTTTGTAGCATAGACATGCTTGTCGTGGACAAAATGCAATAGGAGATGCTTTCTTTTCTAGAACATTATACAACAGACTTCTTGTTACGTTTAGAAATCCTTTTAACAAAATTTATTTTGTGCCTTACTTTGTGATGGTGGATAATCCACTGACACAATGATTTGTATTCCCAAGAGATGTACCCATCCTGGCATCATGGACGAACGGCCAAAACCTTCCTCCAATTGAACTGCAACGTTTTCCAGAGCCGCCAACGGTATATATTGATCTAAGGGACACAACACCTCAGAGGTCTGAGTCGTTGGCTGATGAGCAGCAAAGGTAATTGCCAGCATGTTAACATCTGTGGGATCAGAGGCAGCGAAGAAGCAAACACCACCCTTGTACCCTTTAAGATGTGAGAACTAACATCATCATATGGGATGTTTTAATCCATCCTAGGGCTTAGCAACAACTGAAGGCAGAGGAGCTGCAGTAGCCGCCTCATGAGACTAGTACTGTATTCCGGGAGCACGTAGCTCAATGGCAGGACACAAGCTTAGGAGGTTGAACTGGTGTGGACAACCTCTGGCTCACAGCTCTATCATCCTGGCCCTTGACCATGCTTGCTGGCACTGAATGGAGCAGTAGTTCAGCAATATCTGGAGGGCCAGAGGTTCCCCCATGCCTGCTGAAGAAGGTCTCAACTGCAATGGAATCACTATTGAAAAGGATGAGGTAGAGATGATGGGAAAGACACATTCCTGAGTCCTCTGTGGCATCTGGAGTAGATAGGGATGGACAAATCTCAGTTTTTGTTTCTCTCCGTTTTTCCTTTTCCCAGTCTTACATTTAGTTCTCCATGTTTCCGCATTGGTTTGTGATTGATTGATTGATTGATTTCTTTAAAAGTCCTCATGAAAACTCACCAGCATTTTAATGCAAATTTTGTCCTAGTACACACGTGTTTGTATGCAATTTTGCCTAAAAAGCACATATTTGTAGAGCAATTTTCTCTAATATAAGGCATTTTTGTATGTTTTTCCCCCTCACTGATGTGTGCATCTTTGTGCTTTATGCCTTTTTGTGCGCACTGCTTGGCTGGAGAACAGCACTGTGAAATTTTGAAAAGTTTGAATTTTGAAGGATGGTTGCATTTTGGTTTGCATGATGTTTTACAGAGTGCAAATTAGGTAGGTTCACATTTGAATGTGAACCAAATCAAATCTCTCCTATTGTTCCTCCGTTGGCCTGACTTGGCACAAGGCAGCTTCTTAGGTCCTTTTCCAGCTTGGCAGGGCCTCTTTTCCTTCTCATTAGACACATGTCCGATGGAGCCAGACCTTTGATTTCCAGCGGAAGAATTGTGTGGGAAATACCAGGACTGTCAGCAGTAATCAGTATAAATGGTAGGTTAATGAATTGGAGCTATTGTTGGTCAGCTAGCAGGGGCTCATTTTGATCAGTGGGGCTGCAAGTCAAGGGGATATTGAGTTGGTTCTGGCATTTTGTTGGAATGAAAGAGAGAGAGAGAGAGAGAGAGAGAGAGAGAGAGAGAGAGGAGAGAGAGAGAAAAGATGGCCTTTTCTTCTGGAGATGAGGAGTAGCTTGTGCATGTTATTGTACACTTTCTTCAGTTTTGCAGAAAGCTACCTATATTGTGAGAGTCTGACACCATGAAAATGCATTTAAACTGAACTGACTTTATCAAGCAACATCGTTATTTTAACTGGTTGGCAGTCCCGGAAAACACCATTCACAAATCTGGGCTGGGGGCTGGGCTTCTCTCAGCTCTTTGAGGGAAATGGGGATCTCTTAACAACTCACAGCACCCTGAAAAACTACAGTTCCCACAATTCTTGGGGGGGGGGAAGGAGCCATAACTGTTTATAGTAGTATTATAGTGTGTTAAATGTATGGTGCAGATAAGGACAAAGGTTGGTTGTGCTGAGACCATGCACACTTAATTGGGGATTTCCGTAGTCTGAGGACTTCCATATAAAAAGGCCCTGTGTCTTGTGCTTGCCAAGTGAATCATCCTTCCAAGTAGCAATACAAGTCCAGGTTCTGAAGTAAGTCCTGAGCACTTGTAGCACATCTCCTTTGCATGCAGAAGGTCTCAGGTTCAACACCCAGTGTCTACGGCAGGTGTGGGAGACCCCCCACACACAATGTTGCTGAACTAACTGCAACTCCCATCAGCCCCAGCAAGCATGGCCAATGGCCAGGGATGATGGGAGTTGTAGTTCCACAATATCTGATCTTCAGGTAGGGTTGGGAAAGACTCCTGCCTGAAACTCTAGGAAGCTGCTGCCAGTCATCGTAGACAGTACTGACCAAGATGGACCAGTCATCTGTGACTTGGTATATGGCAGCTTGCTGTGAGAGGCCCATGTCATACAAAGGCTATGTTTTGCTCATAAAGTTGTATCCACCTTAACTCAAGCTTAACTGAGAAATGGTGGATATTCCCCCCCCCCCTTTAGACAGCCAGTTTTGTTGAATCATCTTGTGCCAGGGCTGGGGAATCTATGACCCTATGTTGTTGGACTCCAACTCTCAGCATTCCCTGGTAATTGGCACTGTTTAGTGGGTTTGATGGGAGTTCATACCCATCAACATCTGGAAGGCCACAGCTTCCCCATCCCTGTCTTATGTCCGCATACTGCAGTTCTGTTGATCTTTGTATTTAATATGGCAATATGAATTCAATTCAGATTCCCCTGTCACACTCCATCTCATGACCAAGGCTGATTTTAAGAAAACGCAAACTGGGAAACCAGTTTTTATTGTCTCTGAAATAGCAGGATTGGTTCTTAAATGCACTAGTGCTGGATGATGCCTCTCTGTGAATTCTGGGAACGCAGTACTGAACCATTCTGACAGAGGATCTCAGGGGAGCTGCTGATTTGTTTTCTCCTTGAGATTGAAGGATTCCCAGCACCAGAATAGTAAAGGGAGATATAAAAGGCCCAAGGGCAATATTAATCAAGAGTTAGGAGGAGCTTACTGTAGACCATGGGCAAACTGGCTTAATTACATTGCCTGTTATCATAAGCCATAAATATAAAGTAGTCATTCATGCAATTGCCTGTAACATTCTGTGGGTAAAAATAAAATAAAATTGCAAGGCAGCTCTTCTAACTATTAAAAAACTGAGTTCTGAGCATGAAAGGGCACACAATATTCCTTTGTAGTTCCGACTACATCAGATTGTGCAGAAAAACCCTTTTAGAGGTATGCGGAAGCAATGCTGTTCACTTCATTATGTGTGCTGTTTTCAGAAGTGAGTTTTAAGTACATCAAGTCCAAAAGTGGGCCCTTCAGACTTCTCTGTCCAGCCCTCAGGACACATTCCAGGCCACAACCCCTTGCCCCAGGCCATTTCTGAAACTGGACGTACTCCACCCTTCCTCAAGTGCTTCTGCCTTCCTGTAATGTGTCCTTGAGCTGCAATACTGCTTCTTGCATATCTAGATGGATGATCAAGAGGTGTGTGTGTGTGTGTGTGTGTGTGTGTAGGGGTAAAAGAAACCCATGGCATTTGTGTGGCTGGAATGCAACCTTCCACATAAAGGCAAGGGTTACAAGGATTGTTGTTCTCCTCACTTTTGCCTCTGGCTTAATCCATCATTGACATGTGGCCCCCCAGGAGTTTGCCCACAAGGGAATGGGGCCCTCAGACTAAAGAAAGCTTCTCCACCAGTGACCAGTGGCCTATGGGACGCGGGTGGCGCTGTGGGTAAAAGCCTCAGCGCCTAGGGCTTGCCGATCGAAAGGTCGGCGGTTCGAATCCCCGCGGCGGGGTGCGCTCCCGTTGCTCGGTCCCAGCGCCTGCCAACCTAGCAGTTCAAAAGCACCCCCGGGTGCAAGTAGATAAATAGGGACCGCTTTCTAGCGGGAAGGTAAACGGCGTTTCCGTGTGCGGCTCTGGCTCGCCAGAGCAGCGATGTCACGCTGGCCACGTGACCTGGAAGTGTCTCCGGACAGCGCTGGCCCCCGGCCTCTTCAGTGAGATGGGCGCACAACCCCAAAGTCTGGCAAGACTGGCCCGTATGGGCAGGGGTACCTTTACCTTTACCTTTATTCATTGTATCAAATTGTAGATTTCCACAGAAGTCTCATAAAGTTCAACGGGAAAAAAACAGAAAACCCAGTGGATCAGTTCTTTCTCTAGTCAGTTCATGCATAAGGTCCATACACGTATAAGTGTCTATTCCACCTTTCTGTTTATAGAGTCCAATAATCCACATGAAGGGTTGTTACTGTTCCACAGAATCCTTTCACAGAGTCTAAGACAAGGATTTCCGGAATATTTGCCTTGTTTCGCCATCCTAGGCTTCATCAGGCATATGTAATATTACAGGATGGTGGATTTTATAGCATAGTAGTGGTTGCCTTCCCCTGTCTTCCCACTGAGCAACACCCCCCCCCCATGTCTCCTGGATATCTGCTGCAGAAACGCCTCTTCAACTCCCAGTTTGCATTGAACTTGTTACCAACAATATCTGGTGGCATGAACGCTCTGATCCAGTCTTTGGGTATTGTGATAGAGAACGGGAGCAATCAGTAATGAAGCATTAATGGGATTTCTCGTTCACTTTGTAGCTCGAGCGGCAGCTCCACAGATGAGGAGGAGGAGGAGGAAATGGAAGTGACAGACCGAGAGAAAGTGGAAGAAGGGATGAAAGAGTTTCCCCAGCCATCACGGTACAGAATAAAGACATCCCACATTTCCATGAACTGCTAACATGACAAGAATTAGATGCCTTTCCAGAGCAAGGCCTCTTCTGCAGTCACAAGGAAGGCCAACTGACACAGAGCTTTACAAGTGTTGCTAAATTGGCTTTTAAAAATTGAACACTAAGGGCCTTTTCACAGATTATCTGGCACCAAACTCAGGTTTGCCAACTGCATTGCAGCTGATTTGGACTCTTTTGTGAGTGTTCCTCTATGAAACAGGTTTCCTATCCTGCCCTTCCTCCTGAAGGAGCCCAGGTTGGCAAGCACATCAATAATGGAAAATATTTTTAAAAGCATTCTAAAAATGGTGGAAAACATTCTCTCAAGCAGTGATCTCAGGGTTGCCAGGAACAGTGTGTTTTGGAGGAGTGCCTTGAGTGAACTGTGTCTTTCAGCCATCAGAGGCCTGGGTAAATAGGAGTGTTTTTAAATTCCTCCTTGAAGTCACTAATGAGGGAGACAGATGCGCTTCACTAGGGAAGGCATTCCACAAATGAGGAACTGCCACAGGTCAACAGCAACTGGGCAGAGTGTCTTAAGGTATGCTCCTAAAAGTGTTGCTGGCCCCGAGAAGCTCATGAATCTGAATTCTGTGCGTTCTCTCTCTCTCACGAGATCATAGCAGACGCACAGCCCTTCAGCTGTATTACAGTGGGATTGCTTCCTTTCGTAATGAACTTGTGTGATCACGGCTGAGAGAAATAGAGCCAAAACATACAAACCTGCCCTACGATGAGTGAGCATGCTCAGTAGCTACAGAATGTGGGCATCTCTTGGAAAAGAAGGCTGGGGGTGGATGGGAGCAGAATATCTTCTTTCATCCCCTTACAGCTTATAATATCCTAGGGGAGGGCATGCTGGTCAGCTGGAAACTTGAACAGCAGCATTCCTGTTAGACGGTGAGGATAGACTGCAACATTTTGTTTCAGCTCCCAGGTCTTCATTACCCTGCTTGACATCTTGCACTGATTTGCATAATAATAATAATAATAATAATACAGTGGTGCCTCGCAAGACGAAATTAATTCGTTCCGCAAGTCTCTTCGTCTTGCGAGTTTTTTGTCTTGCGATGCACGGTTTCCCATAGGAATGCATTGAAAATCAATTAATGCGTTCCTAGGGAAACCGCCTTCAGACCAGGTCCGGGGACAGTCTGTCCCCGACCTCTTCTGAAGGCTGGGGGGGGGACAAGGGCTTTTCTTCCCACCCCCAGCATTTTAAAAAACCCCGGGACAGCGGAGGACGTCTCCGCTGTCCGGGGCGATCTTAAAATGCTGACGGGCGGCATTTTAAAATCGCCCGGGACAGCGGAGGACTTCTCCGCTGTCCGGGGCGATTTAAAAGCCCCTGGGAAGGCAGGCAGGGGGGACAAAGACTTTCGCCCCCGCCAGCCTTCAGAAGAGGTCCCCCGCTGTCCCGGAGATTTCCCTATGGGCTGTCGTCTTGCGAAGCAAGCCCATAGGGAAATTCGTTTTGCGAAGCGCCTCCAAAACGGAAAACCCTTTCGTCTAGCGGGTTTTCCGTCTTGTGAGGCGTTCGTCTTGCGAGGTACCACTGTACTGTACTCCACTTACATACCCAAATGGCTTCTAAGTGGTTTGCAAGTATTATTATTATTATTATTATTATTATTATTATTATTATTATTATTTCAATGTCTATACCACCCTTTATCAAAACAACCCAGGGAGGCGTACAGCATTAGGAACACATTTTATTCTTGCATTGCAGGGGCTTGAACTAGGTGATGGTCCCTTCCAACCCCACAATTCCATGATTCTACAGTTCATAATGATCAAAACATTATGATCAAAACATAATACAAAGCATAATGATAGACAGATAAAATAATCATAATAACCGCCCCCTCACTTTTAACTGGCCATAGATTCTTTAATGGCCAAAGGTAAAGAGAAATGTTTTTGCCTGGCACCTAAAGGCATGCAATAATGGTGCCTTTCTGGGAAGAGCATTCCACAGAAAGGGAGCTACCGCAGAAAAGGCTCATTCTTGTGTTGCCACCCTCCGAACTCTCAGGGAGAGGGGACATAAAGAAGGACCTCAGAGGACAAGTGCAGGGTCCAGATCATTTTCTATGGGGAGAGGCAGTCCTTAGGGTATTGAGGTCCTGAGCCATGGAAGGCTTTATAGGTCAACACCAGCACTTTGAATTGGGCCTGGAAACTAATTGCCAGCCAGTGCAGTGTTTGGTGTTACATGCTCAGAACATCTTGTTTTGGTGAGCAAGAAATCAATTTTAAAACCCAGACATAATTTAAATACAAAATAAAGCAATTCCATGAGAACATTAAAATCATCCAGAATTAATTTTTTTTTTTACAAAAGCCTGTTTAAAATCATGACAATTAAAGTAATTCAAAGAACAATTGAGTTAGGAAGTTCAAGTTTAGAAAGTTGCCTGAACAAGTGCATCTTCAAAAGCTGGTGGGATGCCAATAGGGAGAGTATTTCAACAGAGGGCATTCTATAATGCTCCTGCTACCAGTGGTGGAGCCCTCCTCTGTGTTTCCACAAGCTAATAATGACCAGGCTGGGTAACTGGGTTCAATTTGCTGATCTTAATGCCCTGACCAGGCAGTGAGGCAGAAAACGGCTCAAACCAACTCCCACGGAGTTAGGATCTTTTAGGTAAGGTTTGACTGAGCAGCTCTTTTGCTTTCATTCACAGCAAGGGTTGCACTGCGAAAAGCTTTCTGCTGCAGCAACTCCGATACTTTCGCAAGACATCTCAGTCTTCACCTGTTGCCCAGGACAAGGAAAAGTGCCAGAATCTCAAGAGCTCAGAAGAAAATGACCAGCTGGGAGTCAGGAGAAGACAGAGCCTAAAACTGAGGAGACCGACCTCCACGGAGCCAGAGAATTCAAAATCTAGTGCAAGAAGCTTCCCTGCTCTGGATCTTAACAGTGTGGCGAGGAGCTCAAGAGAACTCAAGGAAGAACCCAAGAAAGGGTCAAACAGAGAGACACCTCGAGACTCTGCAGACAAAGACACAGGATACCCAAGGTAGCCTGGAATATTCTTTAGATATTAACTGTATTTACAGTATAGCTCGCCTTCCCTTCAAGGAAATTAGGTTGGCCTACATGACTCCTTAGGGACGTGGGTGGCACTGTGGGTTAAACCACAGAGCCTAGGACTTGCTAATCAGAAGGTTGGCGGTTTGAATCCCCACGACGGGGTAAGCTCCCGTTGCTTGGTCCCTGCTCCTGCCAACCTAGCAGTTCGAAAGCACATCAAAGTGCAAGTAGATAAATAGGTACCACTCCGGCAGGAAGGTAAACAGTGTTTCTGTGCGCTGCTCTGGTTCACCAGAAGCGGCTTAGTCATGCTGGCCACATGACCCAGAAGCTGTACGCCGGCTCCCTCGGCCAATAAAGCGAGATGAGCACCGCAACCCCAAAGTCGGCCACGACTGGACCTAATGGTCAGGGGTCCCTTTACCTTTACATGCCTCCTTGTTCCCCACAACGACCCTGTGAGGTAGATTAGCCTGAAAGAGAGTGAATGCCTAAGGTCACCCAGTTAGCTTCATGACTGAGTTGAGGTTTGAACCTGGGCCTTTTCACCCTGGGCCTGCTCCTTTTATTATACAAATAAAAATTGTATAAACACAAAAACCATGCTGACATCATAACACAACTGACAAAACCCCCCAAAGTTAACCACTGTTTTGTCATACACTAAAAATCTTCAACAAAATAGCCTGACTTTTAGTAATGAAAAAGAATATAAAATTAAATATTATTTTAATCCTTTAAAGGTTATTTACAATTATAAATTCAATCTGGCTTCAAAGCACTCCCAACAACCGCCCTGTGATCTTAGGATGGGTAGTATATAAATTTAGTAAACAACAACAACGAATCTGGTTCATTCCCCCCCTGTATCTTATTCCCCTAGTAGAGAATAAAGCTGATCAATTTTTCAGCAAAACGGTCATAATCCTGCCTGCCTTTTCTCAGTTCTGATGATATTGGTTTGTTTGACCATGCAAGCTGCATCCCATGCTTTATTTAGCCAGTTGTCCAGTAAGGGGATTCTGGGAATTCTTCCAATTATAAGCAATTTTCATACAAGCAGCACTCAGCAGATAAAGAACCATCTCTCTGTACTTCGGGCCTGATGCTTTAACAATCAAATAACGCCAGCTCAGAACAGTAGATGATGGTCGTTTAGTCTAATGTGTAATAAGAAGTGTACCCTAGTCAGTGGCATATGGGACACAGGGATTGGGGGCAGCTAAGGAAAGCCTAGCTTGGGAAATAAGAAAAAGGAGATGGGTTGAATGAAAGTGAAATTAGGATTGTTTCTGTGTTCAATAAATCAAGGTCAAAATCCAAAACATGATCCAGAGACTAGGAGGCCCTTCAAGGAGCTTTTCAGCCTTGGTTCCAAGAGAAGCTGCCTGTTCCTCAAGGCCCTTGAGCAGTGGAGTATCTGGCTTGCCTTTTGAGGACACAGTGTATGGCACCAGGTCAGGGCCAGGTATGACACTGGAAGAACGTAGGATGAGCCAGCTGGATTAGACCAAAGGCCCATGTAGTTCAACATCCTGGTTTTCACAGCGGTCAGCCAGATACCCACGGGAATCTCAAAAGCACAGGACCTGAGTTCAGCAGCTCTCTCTTCCCTTGTGAGTCCCAGCAACTGACATTAAGTGGCATACAGCCTCTAATAGTGGAGGTAGTCATCATGTCTAGTAGCCATTGATAGCTTTGTTTTCTATGAATTTGTTTCATCTTCTCTTGAAGCCAACCAAGTGGTTGTGGGAGGTGGCAAGGTCACCATGTAACTGGAATAAAAATGCAACATGATGTCCCTCTCCTTGTATTTTGTAGGACAGAAGAAAGCCAAAAAGAAAAGCAGGGAGAAGAGAAGCGCAGGAAACAGAGGCTCAAAGAGCAGCTGGAAAACTTAAAACCTCAGCACTCCACCACTGGAAAGCAGCCCATGGCAGAACAGACCCCCGTCTTATTCCATACGGTCAGTAGAACAGAATAGCCAGAGAGCAGCCTTCTTCTCAAAGGGATCTCATGCTTCCTTCCAACCCTGGTTGTCTTCTGGCTGGGTTTATTTCAAGCCAAAGCTTTGGGCATGCTACTGCCAGTCTGAGGAGAGTTTTCCCAATGTGGGTCATGTCAGACTCTGTCAGCACAGTGGCAAGAAGTGTTGCGCTAGAGTTTACTTAGGGAAGAGATTTATCAAACCGCCTTTTGACCACAGAAATTGGTCTCCTTGAGGGTATATGAAACAGTATTTGAAGAAAGCAACCTGCCCTGTGGCCCTTCGGATGTGCTTGGCCAGGAGCAAGTTGATCAGAGAGCAAGATACAAGAAGTATCCAATAGACAAGAGTCTAGTTCTCATTGAGACAGTAAACTATAGTTTGGTCTATATCACTTCAGACAGAAGGTGGGGTCTCTCTAACTGAATGCTCCTTTGTACAAACAATTCCATGCTCATAATAAAATCAGTACGTCAGGGAACAGGGTTCTAAGCCTAAACTTCTTCACAGCATCGTCATTTTTCAGGTTTGTTTGTTTTCTGGAGGAGCATGTAGTTATGTGACACACATGCACACTACTGTCAGAAGTTGTCCCCTGGTTTACCACTAGGCCAAAGTCATGATCCTCAGGACTATGGACAGCTCCCAAATGGTAACCACTTGCTTCAATAAAGTACAAAGCTAAAATTGTGAGATCTCAATTAGCTGCTAAAATATTCTGCCCTGGGGCTCTCTATATCTTGGGTTGCATCCAATGTTAGTCCTAGAGAGCAGACCCACTGAAATTAATGAGCAAGACTAACTTGGGTTCATTAATTTCAGTGGGCCTGTCCCCAGCGGTAGCCTTACAATATCCCTTCCAGCTCTGAAGAGCAGGTTTCTGGAGCGGAATGAGACGTCTTGGGCAGTTAGCAGGACAACTCATCAGATGGTTTAGGCTAGTAGTCTCTCATCTTTTCAAACTCAGGACCAACCTTTAACGTAAACACGCATTTAGGGGTCCCTTTCTTTCTTTCTTTTTAAAAACCAAATATTTGCGTGGTGGTAATGCTGCTGTCATGATCCACCTTGGACCAGGCTGTGATTTACGTAGTACAGGGTCCCTAGCCACCGTTTGAAGGCTATCCACTCACTGACTTCTAGATATGCCATTCACTCCTCTTTGCCAGCCAGGGCTTCATCTGAATCTTGGAACATGCTATTGCTTTGGGTCAGCTTTCACCTTTAGGTCTCTGAGTTGTTTTTTAGACCAGGGTCATGTCAGCTGTAACCAAGTAGGAGCCTTGCATGTTCAGGCTGAAAAGTGCCTATTCTCTTGTTGACCCAAAGAGAAGAAAAGAATGAGCTGTTGAGTCTACAACCTCACACTCTCTGATATTTTACATCTGTCTTCATTCAGTTTCCCTTTCTCTGCAGTTCTGTCATTTATCAAGAACATTTCATATTCAACCGTATCCTACAGAGTCTTATTTTTTATTTTAGCAGCCCTCCACAGGTTTGTGTCATCTGCAAATCTGATCAGTAGACTCTATTCTTCTGTTTAAATCAATAATAAAGAGAGAACTCTTTCACTTATAGCTCACTTCACAATACACCGTTAGCACAGTGGCAGGTTCTGAAGAGCTCCACGCAGCTTGCAATCCACGCATGCCTCTTCTGTCTGACAGCTCCTTATTCTTCATAAACATCTGCTAATAAAACATTTAGAAAGGGAAGAGGCAGTGGCATCACTGGTCCACATGCAGCTGTCCTTTTCAAGACAGGTCTGACAGCCGTGCTTTCTGCGTCTCAGATTGGAATATTCTTCCCTTCCTCTTTTTGATTCATGCACAGATTGAAGAATTAAATTGTTTTGACATGTGAAACCAAAGCAGTTATAATTTGGCAGCTGTGTCCTTAGAAATTTGGAAAGGAGCATGACTAAGAGAAATATAAATAAATTTTGAGACACCACATTTCCACAGTGCCCCTTTTTTCAAGTTGATTATCGGATGTGCCGTTTTTGGGCAGGCCTAACCAAACGTTCACCTCGCCTCATCCGTGACTCGGTCTTCTGTTTCTGGCCTCCCAATCCATCCTTATCTGCCTGATCTGGTTTCTGACAAAAAGTCCATTCTCAGCCCCATCTTTTACCTTTTGCCTGCTGAAACCTCTCTGTCTACATAAGAAACCAACCACAGGGCTGTTTGCATTAGTCCAAAGACTAAGTCTTAAGGGATGGAGCTGTGGCTCAATGGTAGAGCATCTGCTTTGCATACGGAAGGTCCTACGGTACAGCAGGGAGATAATCCTGCCTAAAATCCTGGAGAGCCACTGCCAGTCAGTGCAGACAGTACTAAGCTAGATAGACTAATGGTCTGACTTAGTATAAGGCAGCTTCCTATGATTCCTGGGCTGAAGTGTTAAGGTGGCCATGTGGCTTTCTTTAGAGATGACAGTCCTCTTATTTGAAGGGCTGCCTGGTCCTAGTTTGATTTAAAGATAAAGATAAAGATAAAGATAAAGAACCATGAGAAGGGACAGCAGGAAGGGCCTTGAAGTTGCCAGTCCCCAGGAAGACTGAGCAAGCACACTGTGGTCACATATATCATGTTTCTGTTCATTATTTCATAGTAAAGGTAAAGGTAAAGGTACCCCTGCCCGTCACGGCCAGTCGTGACCGACTCTAGGGTTGCGCGCTCATCTCGCTCTAGAGACCGGGAGCCGGCACCATCCGAAGACACTTCCGGGTCACGTGGCCAGCGTGACGAAGCTGCATCTGGCGAGCCAGCACCAGTGCTGCACACAGAAATGCTGTTTACCTTCCCACTATAAAGCGGTCCCTATTTATATACTTGCACTTAGGGGTGCTTTCGAACTGCTAGGTTGGCAGGAGCTGGGACCGAACGACGGGAGCTCACCCCGCCGCAGGGATTCGAACCGCCGACCTTACGATCAGCAAGTCCTAGGCACTGAGGTTTTACCCACAGCGCCACCTGCGTCCCCTTCATTATTTCATAGTGGATGATAAAATATATATTTGGGGCGGGGACAGTGGAGGCAGCCATTTATTTATTTACTTACTTACTTACCAACAATGCCCCTAGGAATTAAGCAAATGCCATTGGTGGTGATACAGTTGCAATCTTTCTTGGAATGATGCAATCAGTCCTGATGATTAATCATTTTTTGAAGGTTATTTATCAAAATCACCATGATTTCTTGATGATTATCGGAATCACCATGATTGGAAGGAGCATCATTGTGGGGTTGTTTTTTTAACCAATGAAATCCTGATGACACAACCATGATACAACAGTGCTCTTGGGGCTGATGCAGTGTAATGATGGAGCATCAGTGCCTATTGAGTCATTTCGCAGATATCTTTGCCACTGGGTTGCTCTTTGTGACTTTGCCTCCTCTTGAAAGGGGTAGTGGAGCTTTATAGAGTGTTTTCAAAACAAAACTGGAACCCCCTTCCACGTTTTCTCAAAATGGTGATTACTTCCTCCCATTTTTGAAATTAAATTATTTTTATTGATATCTCCACCCACTTGAAAATGGATGAAAAATTTCCCTCGCCCTTTTGCAAGTGGAAAATGTTCCTGCAAGAGTAGAAGTGGGGAGGAATTTCTGGCCCAGCTGGCCTTTGGACTACACCTTTTAGGAACACAGGAATCTGTCTTATACAGAGTCAGACCATTGGTCCATCTAGCTCAGTATTGTCTACATTGAATGGCAGTGGCTTTCCAAGATTTCAGGAAGAGCACTATCCCAGCCATATCTGGAGTTGTTGAGGATTGAACCTATCACCTACTGCATGCAAAGCTCATGCTCTGTTGTGTCAAGGCCAGAGCAGTGAATCATGTAGGCAACCTCTACCCTGAGGAAGAGCTTTGTGCTCCCAAGGGAGGCTTAAATTATTTCCTTTATTTCTCAAGGTTGCCTCGTGGTTCTTTTATGTCATTCTGGTGTGGCCCGGCATGTAGATTAGGAGTGACTCCCCTAGACCCGGAATACTGTAATCTTGCTGGTCGTTCATAATACATCTCAGTAATTGAGTTGAATGGTAATTACACTGGAGGAGCTTAGAAGTCCTTCACTGCCTAATGAAGGTGCTTAGAAAGTAACACTCTTCTTCTTGTTCAAAAAAAATAAAATAAAAATAAAAGTACATTAGCAATTACGTTAATGGTCTCGGCTCATTTGGTGCCAGGAGGGAAATCTAGACATTGTGCGCTCTCTCTATCCTTAGCTCACCCCTCTGCGCTGCCTATAGGGAGGCAGAGCCCTCTGTTCTTTTGTGGAATCCCTTCTCTGCTTCTGTTCCTTTTGACGTTGCCGAAATGTTAACTGTGAATTAAATTTGGTCTGGTCGAGCTAAATTGGGAGCTAATCTGTGTGCAGATTCAGTTCTGTGGCTGGTTGTATAAAAATGCAATTTGGCAGCGAGATAATCAGAGCTCCAACACTCATTCTGGTTAAGGGTACCTCGCACAGAGTTGGTTTTTGATAAGTTAACAGATGAATTAAATCAGGCGCGTAAACACACAGTTGCATGGTCACCAGGAACTGCTTTTGGGGAGCGTGTCGGGAAAGCCTTTCAAAACATCCATTTTTCTGCTAGGCCACAAAATGACACAGGCACAATTCTTAATGGGGTAGTCACTTCCTTGAGCTAACTTGTAAGGCTGCTTTAAGAGTAAATCATTGGTGTTGTGGTATCCCAGAATATTTGGATTTAAACTCCCTTCCTTTCCCCTTCTGGTTTGTAGTCCTTTCGGCTCCCTTTCTTTCTCAGAAGTAAGTGTCTGTGTCTGCACATGTTGGGTGGGAGCCAGGACGGCTTTATTACTGGATTTGGGACCTAAGAATCAACATGGTGCACTTTTTTTATGGGTGATGTGAGGTTAGACATGCTAGGAAGGAGCTCAGCTTAACCTCTTTTGTCACAGATGAGCCTTTGCCAGTTTCCCCAATTATGAGAATGAAATACACGA